TGAAGGGAACGCCGGGAAAAGGTATCTTGTTCAAAAGAAATGGAGGGCTAGTTCTTGAAGTATACACAGATGCCGATTACGCTGGGTCAATTGTTGACAGAAGATCGACATCAGGATACTGCACCTTTCTTGGGGGGAATCTTGTAACTTGGAAAAGTAAAAAACAAAGCGTGGTAGCTCGATCAAGTGCAGAGGCTGAATTCAGAGCCATAGCTCAAGGAGTGTGTGAACTACTTTGGTTGAAGATTATTCTTGAAGATTTGAAGGTCAAGTGGGACGGCCCTATGAGACTTTACTGTGACAACAAATCTGCGCTCAGCATAGCTCACAACCCAATACAACATGACCGGACCAAACACATTGAAATCGACAGACACTTTATTAAGGAGAAGTTAGAAAGTGGGCTGATTTGTATGCCTTATGTGTCTACACATGGACAACTTGCTGATGTCCTTACCAAAGGACTGAATAGCTCAGTTTTTCAGACTATTGTATCCAAGCTGGGAATGGAAAATGCCTATTCACCAGCTTGAGGGGGAGTGTGAAAAAAGCTGTATATAGCTGGAATACAGGCTGGAAAGCCGTGTACAGCTAGGTGATTTTAGGCAATTAGTTTGATGGATTATTTCCTTAGAAGTAGAGATAGTTTCCTAATTTGTTAGTTTCCTAATTTGATAGGATACAGACTTAATGATAGGGTTACTGGAGTTGATATATATATATATATATGTATGCAGTGTATACCATGAATGTATGAATGAAAATAAGAAGTTTTCATTTTCAGCTTCTCTTTGTCAATTCACCACAGGTTTTTTCCAAGGATCCTCGACCTAATCTCATCAAAGACTCGATCCAAACCAACCAAAAACAGGTACACTCAATCACTCTTCTTTTTTCATGAATCTCATGCTATCAATTGGGCAGTCCCACACATCATTGTAACATTGATCTAACTCTTGCCATAGGGAAACCATCTCATTATAATAAACAGTAACCTCACGCTCACTCTATTTGGATTTCCACAACTTGGTTTTCAATTCAAAGATTTGTGAGGAATTTTCAAGATCAGAATAAGTCTCACTAACCGCATCCCATACATCTTTTGCAGTAGAAAGAAAAAGGTAGGGTTTACCTATGGTCGGTTCTATAGAGTTGATTAGCTAGGTAGTAACTAGGGAGTTTTCTTATCTCCATGCTTTCAGTTTTGGATCTCCATTTCCAGGTTTCTTCACTTCTCCATTCAAATGACCGAGTTTCCCGCTTCCATCTATGGCTAGCTTCAACGATTGTGCCCATTCTAGGTAGTTTTTCCCGTTCAATTTGTGGAGAGTCAATTGGAATGAAAAATGAGAGGAGTCTCCCCCTTGAGCCATGGTGGTTCGATCTGGTTCACCACGATTAGGGCCTTCTGCCCTAGACGATGCCGAGGATCTTCATTCTTCTGTAATGGCCGTTTCAGCCATCAATTGAGGAGATTATTTTCGGCTCTAATACCATGTAGGTTTCAGGGCAGAAAAGAAAGTATTTCTCATTGATTATTTTCTGTACAAGGGTTACAATATTTATAGGAAAAACCTCCCACGGGATAGGGAAAGTAAATCCCTTGATTGAGGAAGATCCTTATCTCAAGGAATCTCTTTAAAAATTGAAAGAATAAACTACTTTCCTAATTTATCTCTATGCCCTTATTAACCGGATTGGTACATATCCGGCCCATGACTTTAGTCTACTTTCCTAATTTCTACACTTTATGTTATTTAATCTAAACGACATAAACTTTCAATTGGTAATGTCTTAGTAACTTGTTGATCATGTTAATAAGCTATATCAAAGTAGCGTCTTTATGATATTTGTTATAGTCCAATTGCCAGTTAATATCTGATGGTACATGGTAGCAGGAAACTCCTTTCTTTATGATATTTGTTATAGTCCAATTGCCAGTTAATATCTTATGGTACATGGTAGAAGGAAACTCCTTTCTTTATGATATTTGTTATAGTCCAATTGCCAGTTAATATCTGATGGTACATGGTAGCAGGAAACTCCTCTTGTTATAGTCCATTTCTTTCACCCTTTAAGAAATCTACAGAGTTTCATTTGTGGCACCCCTAGTGTGAAACTGTCTCTTTATTTTCTTTAGTGACTGAGATCATTATGATACTCAAAGGACAAACTCATTGACTAATAAATATCTAAAATGGAACTCTTTCTACTCTTTTGACGAAGGTTTCAAATTTTTTATCAGATCACAAATAACCTTGAGCAAAGGTGTTACAAGAAATTGAGAAGTGAGAATTTTCCATCTGCCAAAATTGTCATTTGCATTTACAGGAAATTGTTGGTTTCTTGCAAGGAGCAAATGTGAGTCGGTACTTTTTTCAATTGTAATTTCTCATTGTTTTCCATTTGCATTTGAAGTTTCTGCAATTGTAATTTCTCATTGTTTCATTTTTTGTCCCAGAAATTTGTTACATCATAAGTCACCGTGTCCATTCTTTTTTTTTTTGTTTATTTTTCCTCCAGTTATTATTATTATTGATTTTAATAAAAGGTCAGTGGGGCAATATATGGTCATTCTAGATTTAGCCTTTTAAATATCAATTGTATGGTTTAACACTGATTTAATTTCTTTTAGCTATCAAATTAAACTTTTTGGATGTACTCTCTCTCTCTCTAAAATTCAAATTTTGCTTCTCTTTGTCAAAAATGTTTATAAGCTTCCTTTATGTTGTGACAAATTCATGTTTGTAGTTTGTGCTAACGAGATAGAATTTATGATGACTGTTGTTAGTAGAAAAAGCCAGCTTCATACTATTAGCTTCATTTCCATTCCTTGTACTGATGTGCATTATTTTATTCTATTTAAAGCTCGAGTTTGAAATTTTCTTTTTCATTTTTTATTGTAGGATCCCCAGAGGTGTTTCCTAAAACCAACTAAAAAGAAAAGGAAAAAAATAGAAAAGAAAAAAAAGACGAAAAAAATAAATAAACACAAAAAGAAGAGTAAAATGGAGTAAACACAATAGTTTGCATAATTTTTATGCGTGAGGTATCCATGTTCTGTTCTCATCTTATGTTCCAGTTAGACAAATTCTTGTATAGTTTGTTTGGGGAGGCTGCCTTGTAAACACTATTTCTTCAAGCATGAGAAAAGGCTCTTGAAAATGGTTGGTTTCAATAGCGTGTTAAATATTGTGTGTGTTTGTGTCTTTTAGATTTTACTTTTATTTATAGCATATTGCATTTCAATCATCGTCCTAATCTATTTCAGGGTGAGAAATGGGATCCTGAAAAAGAAACTTGAAAGGTTGTAGCAAGGTTTGGAATTTACTTGTAAGTTTGACATAGTAGTGTTTGTTATATGGTTTGCTTTTTTCCAATTAGTTTGTGTAAATCTCATGTACCTCTATTGTCCTAATTATAAAAAAGCTTGATTGCAATTAACATGGTGAGATTCAAAGTGTAATGTGACATTACATTTTCTTGTGTTGCTTGATGAAAATTATTTGTTAGAAAGAGTTTGTGTCACCTTGTATAAGTGAGTAATGAATCTCAAGACAGTTTGTTATCATACTGAAAAAGCTCTTTTCACAAGACACAATAGGGAACAAATCTCATAACACTTTTGCAATCTAATTTTCTTTGGAAACCATCACTTTTCTAGGGATTGTAGATTGATTACGTTTGTACTTGTATAGGTAGTGAACTTTGTGTTCTCATGACTTGAAAACTCAAATTATAGTCTTACTAATTATGTTGATAACTTTATTTTTTGTACATCTCTTCCCCTAAAAATCATGCTGCAACTTTTATGTTTGTCATTTTCACTTTTGTTTTCTCACTATTGAACTTTCCATTTCAGAAAAATTCCCAAACCTTAGCAGTTTCAAAAACCACAATGGGTTACGCTGTCTCTAGCTAAAACACTTGACTAACGAGTGGGTAAATGATTTATTGAACTTATACAATGTGCTTTATTGAGCTTTACGCTACACTTACTAACGTCTTTTCCTTGTTATAAGCTAGATAAATGATGTAGGTAACACAGGGATAAGCTCCATATCCTATTATGAAACTTTGATGGAAAAAATAATTAAAAAAGGAAGGGAGATAAAAAAAAATAACAATGCAATGGAATAGAATGAAATGGAGGGGAAAAAAAAGAGCATAGAGAGAGTGATAAGGGGTTAGGAGCATAATTGCTAAACAACAATCTGCAATTCAACAAAGAAGTAGCAGCTGTAGAAAAGGCTTAGAGGAGGCTAAAGGGAAGGGAGAGATATAGAGAAGCAGCACCTTAAGCATTATAAAAGGTAGAGATTTTATGAAAACTTACTTTGTAGTCTTCGTATTTTGTACTATTATGTATTTTTATATTGCGTAGTCTTAGTACTGTTAATTACTTTTATCTTTGAAATTAATGTTTTCAATGTAAATTTGCGTCTTTATGTTAGCTTCAATATTTCTCTTATGGTAGGTGTTTTCTCTTCCTTGCCTCAGATTTTCGTAAGTTTGCTTTATGCGGTAAGAAATGCATGCCTTTGTTGTTGGTGGTGGACAAGTCCAGCCAAAGGAGGTATGCCTTTTTCTTTGTTGTTGCCTCTTATTGTGTGCATTATGTTCTACACTTGTAAATAATGATATCATATGTTACAATTGATTAATATTTTTCTACAAGTACCTTTTCTGTAATTATTTTTGGTTATTTGATCTTCTCTGAATTAAGTATTCTTCTGATGCATTTTGTGATTTTCGAGTAGTTATTGAGCACAAAGTTGATATGGACGAAGGTAGAATCTCACGATGCCTGAGGGTTGTGCCATTGGAAGTCCATTCATAAAGCCCTATCATGATCATCTTACTCTCTGCTTCCATGAATTTGAAGCGAAGTTCTTTAGTTAATGCAATTCTACTTTTGCTCCTCTTAAGGGTAAAAATATGAGTTACTCAGTATTTATTTGGATTCATCGCTTTTGTTTTGTGTGTGTTTGTGTTCACTTAATCTCTGTTACAAATATTGATGCATTAAGGCAATGATCATAATTATATCATTGTTCATGTCATGAGTTGTATTTGCTATCCATACAAACAGTGGAAGTTGAAATACATAAAACCAAGTGATTGGGGTACTTGAATACTGTGTTTGGATTTCATGGAATCCCGCTGGAACCAAGAACTTTCTCTCACTTGGCTTTATGTCTTCTTTCTTTGCCAAATATGATTTTTAGAAATTGCAATAAAATGCAACGTGCATTCTTTTTCTCTATTTGAAAGTCGAGTTTGACATTCTCATCTCATCTTTTATTATAGGAAATTTCCTGACCTGTAATTCCTGAAGCCAACACAGAAGAAAAGAATGGTAGAAAGAAAAAGAAATAAAAAATTAAGGGGGGAAAAAGAAAGAGTAAATTAGAAAGAGAAAAAGAGAGGGAAAGACTGTTGTGTTAAATTGGATATTAATGGTCTTTCTCCTCCTTCAAGTTTTTGTAACTTTTCTAGCAATTATTATTTGTTGTCTTTCTATGTCTAAAACAATTGGTTTTTTTTTTTTTTTTTTTGCTTGCTGAAACAATTAGTCTTATTTAGTGAAATTTCAATCTTTGTAAATCATAGGAAATGGTAGAAGGGCATTAGGATGTTGCCATATGAACACCAATCCCTTGCTGAGGATGAAGGTCAAGGTCAAGTTGCTTCAAGCTACTTGTGGCACGCGATCATAACTTAAGCGTAGACCCGAATGAAAATGAGCATTTTTTTCCTACATGCTTTTTACCGTGTTAGTTGAAGTACTTCAAGTTTGATATATGTTTTCATTGCACTCATAGAATGTAACAATTCTCTAAGAGCCATTTCTTTCTTTAGGTTCCACTTACTGTGTTTTCCTTTGTATGACTCAGGCTAGTGGTGTACGTAACGAGAGGATCAGCTTGAATGTTTTACTTTGTATGACTCAAGCAAGTGGTGTACGTTACCAGATGATCCGCTTGAATGTTTTCCTTTATATGAGCAAGTGGTGCACTTACTAATTTTTAAATGCTGTCTTGGTTTTTGTTTTTTGTGTTTTCCTTGCTGATTAGTTTTCATGTTCATTGTAGGAAAATTTACTGCTGTGATCATTAAGCCATTGAAAAGAGAGGAAGGATTTTGAAAAGTAAGAAAAAGAGGGAAAAATAAGTTAGATGAAACAGAGGGGGAAAAAAAGAACAAAGAGTAAGAAGAAAAATAAGAGAGACAAGAAAAATAAAAGACAAAGTAAAGGAAAAGACAAAAAAAGGAAAAAAATAATAAATAATAAATAATAAGAATCAAATGGAATAAAAGAAGAGAGACAAAAAGATACATAAAAGAAAAAAGAAAAGAGAAAAGAAAAGAAGAGCAAATGTTGGTCGGGCTGTAGCTTCTATAGTTGCTGAGATCTTATTATTTTAGAGGGGCAATTGTAGTTGCTTGTTTGTTTGTGAGCATACAAGAAAAGAAAAGAGAGAGAAAAAGTGTGGGAATAAAAAGATAGAAGGAGAAAAGTCAAAGAAAGAATGAAAGTAGTGAGTTTGAGGGGGGAAATTGAAAAGAAAAAACCGAAAGCAAAGGGAAAGAAAATGGAGAGAAAATTTAGTAGATGAAATGGAAAAGGCATCTTGAACTGATGGCATACATAACAATGGCATCATCTGGATATCTTATAAGTGGTCAAAAACATTATCGTCATTATGTCTCTCTTCTAGTTTCAATAAAGCTGGTGTCTTTATTTGTTGTTGGTTAAATTATGTGATAGGTTCAGTAGAGTTTCAGGCGATAATGTGAACATGGGAAAGACCACTCCCATTGCTTAGTACGAGCTCAAGACAGTAGATGTCTTTTAACAAAATTTTTTGATAGGTTGGGATATTTTTTTCTCTGTTCAACGTTCATGCTTTCATAGAACAAATGAGTAAAGTTCAAGTTTATTTATAAATTCAATAATTGTATTGTGTTTCTTCTGCTAGTGAGGCACGGTAAGGGAAATGATTCCATGCTATTTTAGAAGTATATTCTTGTTTTTCTTTAAAGCCCGTCTTAGGTTTTTTGGATTTTCTTTTCTATTCAACTTCTAGTTTTATACTTGGGATTGATATTATAGTAAGAATTTTTAGCCTCTAGGATCTTGGAAAGACACAAATGTTAGTCTGGTGGTGGCTGTCACTAAATAAGTTTTTTAACATTGCTAAGATCTAATTTCTAGCCTTCCAACTACATCATTATTATTTTTTGTTTCCTTGAGCGTACAACATATCATAAGCAATGCTCTTTTATTTTGGTTTCTATTTGCCTTTCATTAACAAGGTTCCAATCCACCTGCTGTGTTATAATTTCTAATGTGTTTTCTCTTCTTGTTACTGGTTAGACAGGTAGGCGATAAAGAATGTTGCTTTGATGGTGTACATAACTGATCAAAAATGTGGTCTTGCATCTCCCGTAAGTTTTCTGAGTTTTTTGCCACCTTTATGTTTTATCTTGCTATTTCTAGAAGAATTACTTGTTTTTTCTCAAGAAATTGGCAAATCAAGGGAACCAAACGGAACATCTAAAGAACATGTGAGTGTTAAGTGTTAACTCTCTTCCTTTAGGTGGCAGCTACTAATGTGATTTGCTACTCACAAGTCAGATATGTGGATTGTTACTGAATCCAACCTGAGCCTATTATGAACTCTTTAAAAGAATGGAGACAACTTGAGCCTTTTGTTAAGTGCTTGAAATTTTTCAGTCACGTGTTTTAGTACTAGATTTTTGTTGAATTATATGACAGGGTAGTAGAGTTTCAGGGGAGGATGCCATCATAGGAACCATTCCTTAAAAAGTCCAGATTACTAATCCACTAAAGTTTATTGGAAATATGGAATAATACAAATAGAGGGATAGGAAGCCTCCCCCGGTCATATTTCTAGAAGCCATCCGGGCCGGATGTTAGTCTTTGTCAAAACTAAAAACAAGTTTTATGCCGTCCTCACCATGAGGCCTCTCAAGCCAACGTGCCTTGCCCTCTTAAATTGCACTCCACTCGATCACTTCAAAACTCAACGAACTATCTTTCTCCTCAAACAAATTTTCATAAAATGCTATGATCTCTCACTCAATCTCCAATCTGTCCTCCAACACTACATTATCATCCTTTTCCAATCTTATGATGGCTCTCTTGTTTCTTCTGTTGCTAACCAACTTGTGGAATAACTTAGTGTTCCCATCCCATTCCTTACTCCATCCGTACTTCATCTTTTATTTCCAAGCCACCGCTTCCTTAAAAATTGTTTCCTCCAATTTATTTCTTAAGAATCTCCTTTCCACCCTATCATTTTCATCCAAATTACCTGCTTCCTCCTTGTTGTCCAGCCTTACAATTTTCCCCAAATTTTTGTTTTTTATAGTTTTGTGTCCCCAAAAATCTCTTTATTCCCCTTCATAAATTCTTTCATCCTTTTGTATTATTACTCCTCTCTTTGTATTATTTCATATTTCAGATACATGTAATTGGATTAGTTATCTAGAATTTTTGAGTAATATGATCTTTTACTAAGTTGATTTTTTTTTTTTTTTTTTTTTTTTTTTTTTTTTTTTTTGTGGTTCAGAGGATGCCCCCAGTCAAAGTAGTGATTGTGATGAAGAATTATACTTGCATATCGTACCGGTCAGTACTATGTCTTTCTAAAGGTTTGTCTTTTAGCTCGGGAGTTCGTATGCTCATTATCAGCTTCTTCGTGCGTGCCACACTTGGAAATTACTGAAGCACATTGCCATGGGAACCTTGAAAGGCTGAGTTCTTAAAGGCTAGAGCTTGTGCACGTGATTGGTAAACTAATCATAAATAGTCAACTTTCCCCTAAATATATCTGCGCTTGATCTAAGAAATTCGGTCCCACTTTAGATTTTGCTTTACTCAGGATGGATACCTTTACTAATCTGCACATGAAGCCAGGTGTCCTACAATCTGTAGCGTGTTGGAAATATTGTGAATTTTTTTTTTTTATCCAATGAATAAGATAGAGAAGTCTTTTTACTTAGAAACTTTTGCCAAAGCATTGTTAAACTTTTACATGGATGATTATTCTTTTCTATTAGCACCAGCTATCACAATTTGTACACTGCTTTTGTTTACTGATTGAAATGACCTTAGAATCAATCAAAGCTAAGAAAAAAAATAAAACTGAAATGCAGAAATGTGGAATAAGATTAGAATAGAAAAAGGCGAAATAAATTGTACATATATGAGGTAGTTTGAAATAAAAGTATGATTTAGTAGCTTATTTAAACATTTCGATCGCACTTTAGAGGACAAAAAGATGATTTAAGCATATAAATCTTAGCGTTGGGGTTTTACAAGTTATGACAGCCACAACCTTTCTAGGAACTTTTATGCTCCTGAGCTGGAAAAACATGGCTACCAAACTTTTTTATATGATAAAAACTAAGGAGAATTTTTGTAACTTATTATGTATTTCAGCATCAATGTTTAATTTGTTTTTTCTTGTTAGTTATTGTGTTTCTTTTTTTTTTTTAAGGTCCACAACAAAACTCCGGAAAGAATTGAGGGTTTTGCAATAGATTTGATTTCTCCACATAGGTAAATTTGCAATTGGCAAAAAAAAAAAAAAAAGGGGCTTTGGGAAAAATGAATAAATGATTCACTTTCGTAGTGGAATTTATAGTCTTTCCGTGTTTCAAAAGATTGTTCTTCTATGGAGATTTATTTATATGTGTCTTTAAGTGTTGAGTTTAAATGAGAATTTTGTTCTAATTTGCCGGTAAACACGCGTGTAATTGTCCACATAGATGTAATGGATTTTAAGCTCTGGCAGATAATTGTATTCGTTGCTTTCTGAATATGGTACCCTAGCTAGTTTTTAACTTTCCTAATGTGACTATTCATTTTACAGTTTCTTGCTAGTCATGTCAAGTTTTACCCTTTTAAAAGAACTGCACAAATCTTTTGCCTGTGCATAAATTCTAGTGGGAGTTACAGAGTTCTAATTCTATTCTGGAAAATTTTTTACAATTATTCTAATTTTTTAGCAACAAGGAAAATTTTATATACTATTTTTTTTCTGTTGTTCCTAAATTGCATTATTTGGCGTCTATCTCTGTTTGGAGCAGCTCAGGAGAATGGGCAAATGAGTCTACATATTTTACACAGGTGAGCAAGACAAAACCCTTCTCCAATAAACTCAACTATTATTTTTATTTAGTATATATAATAATTTCATTTGTCTTTTATAAATTATATTTATTGTTTACTTCTCTTGATATATATATATATATATTTATTTATATTTATATATTTATACTTCCTAAGATGAGGGGTTAGTGAAGAGACAAACATCATATTTGACGTGGAGGCAAAGAAGTAAATTAATGAAAACCATTTCATCAATGAATTTATTTGTCAATTAAAACCTGATCAATGTGGAGGTAATATTCTTCTATTTTTCTTTGTTATTTACTCATGATTACTTTTTTTTTTTTGGTTTAGTGCATGCATTAGTTTGATTTGCCTGTAAATTAAGAAATAATAGTCTTATTCATATTGCCATTTGTGTTTGTCCATTTTACTGAACGTATTTGTTTGTTGAAATTTGAGTAGATTCTAGTCCTCTATTTTTCCATGCTGGTTAATTACTTGATTATTATTTTTGTTTAGTGTATGTAATTGATTTCATTTGTCCTTTTTGATTTCTATTTATTATTTACTACTTAATATTTAGATCATTTTATGTTCTTTTTATTTTTTGTTTGTAAAATACTTTTCAAAGTGAGGGGCTACGAAGAGGCAACACCATATTTATTATCAAACAATATAAAAGAAGGTAATAGTGAAAAAAAAATTGACCTCTAATTTCTTTTACTTTGTTTTAGACATTTGTTTGTAATATAAATGAATGCATTCTTATTAATTAAAAACTATTTATTTTCTTGGATGCCTTTTGAGGATCGATGATTTTGTTT